CTAATACTACACACTGTACTAATACTACACATTGTACTAATACTACACACTGCGCTGATACCACACACTGTACTAATACTACACACTGTACTAATACTACACTTTGTACTAATACTACACACTGCGCTGATACCACACACTGTACTAATACTACACACTGTACTAATACTACACTTTGTACTAATACTACACACTGCGCTGATACCACACACTGTACTAATACTACACACTGTACTAATACTACACACTGTGCTGATACCGCACACTGTGCTAGTACTACACACTGCGCTGATACCACACACTGTACTAATACTACACACTGTGCTAATACTACACACTGCACTGATACCACACACTGTGCACTAATACTACACACTGTACTAATACTACACACTGTGTAGTAATACTATACACTGCACTGATACCATATACTGTACTAATACTACACACTGCACTGATACCACACACTGTGCACTAATACTACACACTGTACTAATACTACACACCGTATACTAATACACTGTACTAATACTACACACTGTATACTAATACACTGTACTAATACTACACACTGTATACTAATACACTGTACTAATGCTACACACTGTGTAGTAATACTACACACTGTACTGATACTACACACTATGCTAATACTACACACTGATACTACACACTGTACTAATACTACACACTGTGTAGTAATACTACACACTGTGCTAATACTATACACTGATACTACACCCTGTGCTAATACTACACACTGTACTGATACTACACACTACTAACACTACACACTGCACTGTACTGTACTGGCTGCTGTGTTGTGCTATGGTCTGTTTAAGCGCTGGAATTTGTTATTTACGTGACAGCACCTGAACGCAACACAGGCTCAGCTCCATTGAGTGTGCCATGCTGCGGGTTCGGGCTGGACTCGGTTATAATTGTCTTGGACCCGGGCCAGGTTCGGTCAGGAAAATGCAGCCCGAACAGCGCTCGTGTGTGTGTGTGTGTGTGCGTGCGTGATACAGAGAGCAGAGGAGAATTGTAAATGCGTGACCATGTAGAGACAGAAATGACATGTTGTCGTGTAAATAAGATAAATAACATAAGGCTATTTAGTTAGTTTAATAAAAGGACAAGGTATAGACCTGTTCCATAGGAAAGGTGACCTTAGATGACCTCCCTTATATAATGGTAGAGGAAACACTGGAAATTCTGACCAATCAAGAACAGCTTTCTGATCTGACCTGTGTGTGTGTGTGTGTGTTTCAGGAGCACGTGCTTATCGAGGCCTATAAGAAGTGTCTGAGCGCGCTCAGTCACTGTCAAAGCGGCCTCCCAGACGGTGAGCAGCCAATCAGCTTGAACCTGGCGGGTCACAGCGTGGAGACGTTCAGGTACCAGGTGTCTCAGGACAAAGTGTCCATTCACCTGCCGCTCTGCAGACTGCTGGCAGGTGAGTGTCCCTCAGACTGTCAGACCAATCAGCTTCCGGCTCTGTAGGACCTGTCAGGGTCCAAATGATTGACAGCAGGTTATAATGCTGGTTGATGACATCACTGACTGCTGACTCCTCCCCCCTCTGAACTGACAACAAAACAACAAGTCTCACTGTCTGTCTGCTGCAGCACAAACCGACTTAACCGACGGGTTAAGATACTGAGCGTCATAGAAGAGTGTTGTCTCAGTTTGACCCGGGGTGTCTGCAGGGTCAGACTGATTTGAGAGGCGGGCCTTCTGTGGTGGTCATGACAACAAGTTAACAGTCATCAAACAATGGAGGAGAAACTGGTGGTAGTGGTTGCTGGTAGGGATGGGTCACGATTTTCGAATTTTCGAATAGTCGTTTTATTTTGAAAAATCGATTTTTTTAATGCGACTATTACTATTCGCCGTCTTATTTCCCCCCTTTATTTGACANATTTTTTTAATGCGACTATTACTATTCGCCGTCTTATTTCCCCCCTTTATTTGACATGCAATTCAGCTCCTAACCGCACGAGGGCAGTATAGGATGGCTACAGTGATGTGAGATGGGCTATCAGCTAGTTTGATGCTCTTCTACAAACAGGAGAAACATGCAGAGACTCCTACAGTCATCAAAAAGTTCCATGTGGAACAACTTCGGCAAAATAAACGAAAATGAGGTGCAGTGCAAACCTGTGAGGCAAAACTTGCGTATCTCAAGTCTACAACAAGTATCCACAGTCATTTGAGAGCAAGGCATGCAGGAGGTGGTGAGGGACCGTACGGCCGGGCTCAGCGGCGTGACATGTCTGCAGCGCAAGTGCCGTAGCAGCTCGCCCCCGTTAATCGATTACAGCAGCTCCACCGGCAACGGGAGCAGCGCGACAACCCCCGTCTGTTGCGCGACAACTCTATATTTTACCCAGCTCTTCTATTTTTGTCGCGCTACGCTCCCCTACGCGACCCTCCAGCAGATAAAAACTACATGAAATAGTGTGCTAAACGAGCACAGTGTGTTTTTAAATTAATAAACCATTATCAGAGATGATATGTGATTTTTTTTTTTTTTTTT